TAATGTTCGCTTAATTAATTTTAATTGGACAAATTCATGGTGAATTTAATGTCATAACAAGAATTATGAAATGAATAAAATATAAACTTTTGTAAAGAGAACTATCGTATTTTGAAAGAAGATAATGGATGAAATATCGTGGCGAGAGCTATCGCAATTTGAAAGTTAAGTAGTAATAAAACTAAATCAAGCAAGAATGTTAATGTTTCGCTGAGAGCACATATAACAGAAGCAGGGAACCTTGTTTACCGCCGGGTGGCAGACGGGGGTGACAACGCAGATTTCAGAAATTATTTCTGCACAGATCTTATACCCTGGTGCGATACTGCAAAGAAAAAATTTTTATGATTTCTGCGCAGAACTTCAAGAAAATAAAGTTCTGCGACAATCTTCAAAAATTAAATCTTTGAATTAATTTAAAATAATTAGTACAAATCATCGGGAAATTTTTTGGGGAGCAGATCTGTGCAGATTTTCAGAAATTATATCTGCACAGATCTTATATCCTGGCGCAAAACATTAGAGGAAAATTCTAATAAAAAACTGCGCAGATTTTATAAATAACAAAGTTCTGCACAGATTTTTAAATAAAAAACCTTTGAAATAAATTGAAATATAAAATACAAATAATATATGATAATTTATAATCCATTTATATTAATTAATCATAATCAATTCTTTATTTCTACCAAAAAAAGCAACGTAAAATTTCGCGCAAAAATACAAATTATAAAAATTAAAGTATTTCAAAGAAATACAATTAAAAAATATAAAAAAATGATATAAAAAATTTAAAGTATTTCGAAGAAATACAATTAAAAAATATAAAATTATGAATTATAAAAAAAATTAAAGTATTTCAAAGAAGATAATTTCTTAATATACACTAGTGTGCGAAACACGTATCACATGACTATCCCTTAAATCGTAAGCAATTGCGGGTAAATTTGCTCGCAATTTTATTAAATTTCAGCTTTCATCTAATTTTATGAAAAATAAAGCAATTTTAATAAAATTCTTTTTCAAAATAGTTTAAATTATTTATTGTGCAGCAATTATTATCATTTATAAATTTATATATTAGAAAATCAAAAATTATCCATTGGTCAAAAGTTGTATTTTAAGATAATCACAAAATTTTAAAATCTTTGCACTTAACTTTGACGATTTCATTGATAATTAATTGTAGCTATATAAAAGCTTAATAAAACATGTAGAATTTGGTATGAGAAACAACTTTTGTTAATATGATTTTTGATGTTTATAAGTAGGATTTTGACTTTATATAGAACCTAAATGAAAATTTTATTATATATTTTAATTATATACTTATAAAAATTAATTTTTTTTATCTCTATTTTGTTTATTATAATGCAAAATTTTTATAATGAAAATAAAAAGTTATAATTAATATTCAAATAGAGAAAAAATATGATAAGAAAAGTCTAGATTTTATTATATAAAAATTCTGATACTATTTTTGCGAGTTAATTTCTCATCCAATTTTAATGATCAACCGCATATCTAACTCATACAATTTATGGCCAGAATGTAGATCAATTTGTCTACAAAATTATGTGATGATCTGACCAAAATTAAAGAATATTTATAGCGTCATTTATTCTAATTTAGAAATTGTGGGCAAATTTGCCCCAAAACGGTTTAAGGGATAATTTATCACCCATGTCACACCCCTATAGTTTTCCATTTTTACTATTTATTCTAGGGACTTAGAATTTTTTCAGTAGGAAAAACCTTATTTGTCACATATTATATGTCATGTCCAATAATTTCGGCCAAATTTATAATTTCAGCCAAAAATTACTGTACTTTCCAATTTTAGAAATTAGAGTAACATTATACAACCCAAAAAAGGCAATTTTGTTTCTCAGTAAAAATGAAAATGCATTACACAAATTTCTAAATAGGAAATTTTTTATGCAGATCACCGGAAAAATGACAATAATCATGTGACCTGTGTTTACACACGTAGTGTTCCAATCTGCAGATCATCCGTCATCCGTCATCCGAGAAAATTTTGATCCATCTGATCCGTCATCCGTCAAGAACAATCTGAATCTGAATCTGAATCCGAAGGTTCATCTGTCAGATAATCTGTTTCACATGATCAGCAGTAATTCAGGCCAATTTATAATCCTGGCCTGAATTATAATTCACAGCTATGCCGATTATTTCCATATTTGGTGATAGCCGTTCTGCAAAATTATTTTTTCTGAAAAATAAAATTTTCCTTTTTAAAATGTTGTGTAATATAAATTTCCTAAAATGGAATATAACTCTGGCCAGAATTAAAAGTTGGCCTGAACTACTGTATAGGCTTCAGATCAACAGATGATCTGACTTCATCCGATCTCAATCCGTCATCCGATCCGTCAACAAAATGGTTATCCGACCTATCAGATTTATCTGACGAATGATGGATATCCGAATTTCAAACGGATAGACGGTTGACGAATTAGAACACTATACACACGTAGTGTACAAATAGAAATAGTCTTCAAAGAAATACAATTAAAAAATATAAAAAAATGATATAAAAAATTTAAAGTATTTCAAAGAAATACGATTAAAAAATATAAAAAAATATAAATTATAAAAAAATTAAAGTATTCCAAAGAAATACAATTAATCCTGAGGAAATTGCGAATCTAGATTATTAATCTAAAAAAAAATGATGATTTAGCTTAGTAAAATAATTCAATTAAGTGTATAATCGAACATAAATAATAACTTTAACTTACAAAATCATCATAATTTTCACTTTCTACCAATTCGCTGCTCTCTTTTGCGACTGCTGACTTGTATTGATCAGTTTTTTGACTAACTTCTTTTGCTTCTCATTCGGCCAATTCCTCCATTATACGAGGAGTTATTTGCGTTTTATTTCTAAATGCTTGCTGTTAATTAATTATAGATTAATATCTGTAAAATATTAAAAGATTAAAAGAACTGCAAAAATTTGCGAAAATTATTTACTAGAAAAAATTCGACTCTTTTCGTAACAGACTTGTCATTACACTTAATACTATAGCTATTGGGATTTAACAAGATGTCACATATTGATAGAATATACGCACAATGCGTAAAATGAAGTTCTTTATCCCTATACTGTTTGAAAACTGAATGGCCAATTTTCGTTAGAATATCGTGATTTTTGAAAAGTTCATAAAACGCATTACGCGTTTTTTGATTCTATTTTCATTCAGCGATCTTCATAGAAGGAGCATTGTTATCTATACGTTCCAATCGCTATTCTCTAAAGACGGAAAATATGGCACTCCTAATACTTGCGGCAAAATCAATTCTCCTGCTTCTGCATTTTGTTTTTATCTAAAAAAAGTTAAATAAATATAAAAAATACCTTTTTTTAACGATTATTAATATTTCACATACTTCTGCCAACAACTTATCTGAAAATAAAGAAATCCACGCATTTTGCCCAATATTTTTAATATAATAATCTGCATGTTTAAATAAATATGTTTCTAAAGCCTTTTGGTACTCTATATCCGAAGGATATAAAGTCATTAGAATAAGTTCTTTAGCTACATTTTTATAAACGCTCTGTGAAGATATTTGGTTATTATAAGTATCTTTAGATTAAAATCAAGTTGATAATTTTTAATTAACTTACATTCCAGAAATCATCGCTTAATACATTACTTTTTGCAACATTTTGCGTATCTTGAATACTTTTTTGTTGCTGATCTCCAATATATCGACATAGTTTGTAGATGGTGTTTACCTTTCCATCTAATGCATTCATAGCGTAATTAAACTCTTTCACCGTTAAGTAACGTTCACCCTCTACAATATATGGTTTTGGTAAAGGCTCACAGTTATCACTTTTATCACGGTTATCACTTTATCACAGTTATCATTATGTTCTTTATTATCATCATCATCGTCATCATTATCGTTATAATAATTAAGTTTTCTATCAAGGTCAATTTGCATTGGACTAAGTATGGGAGTTGGCGTCTTTGAAGTTCTTTCATAACTTATAGGAGTTACAGAGGACCCCGAAGAATACATATAATACTGGGATCCAATTTTGTATAAACTTACTATGTAATTTCTTAATAAGTCATATGTTTGAAATTGTATAACCAAATAGCAGTTACGCAAAAAGTCAGATTTTTATTTGTATAACAATAATGATTTTTACAATAAGTAAGATTTTCATTTTGTATAACGGATATTAGAATTTTTTTTTTATATACGTTTAAAATTTTTTAAAGTTTTTTTTTATTTTTTGTTTAAGAAATTTTTAAGATATTTTTTAATAGAGTTTTTTTATTTATTTTAAAAATCACTTGAAATATTTTTTAATAGAAATTGTTTTTTGTTTAAAAAGTTTTTAAGGGTTCGTTTAAAGACATTTTTTTAATAAAAATGAAGAAATTTTTTTAAAATTCATTTACAAAATTAAAAAAAATACATTTTATTATATATCTCAGCATCCAGTGATCATAGAGAAATGAAACACAGCTTATTAGATTTATCTCAATACGATGAGTCGAATGGTGGTAGTTAGAGTTTGGAACCAGATGCACCATCCGATTTTAAATCCAGTTCTACCCGTTTTTTTAATGATTCGGTTTAATCTGGATTTATGTTATAAAAACCGGTTTGCATTTAAAACGAGTGCAACCGGATGTCCAAACTGATTTGATATTAATGAAAATTTATGCTTAATATATCCGATCATTTTTATATAGATTTTAAAAATTAGATTAGCAAATTTGCAAATTTTACAAATAATATGTATATTTAATGGAAAAAAATAATGAAAAATAAAAATTTAATTATTAAATCATTTTACTATATAAATACAATTATTTTTCGCAAATAACTGAATGAATGATTTTAAGTGCTGATTATTTGCACAACAAAAATATCACTTTATTATTTAATAAGCAAAATTTATACAGAAACCTAAGTTACATATAGCTACTAGGCTAATTTAATGGAGGAAAAATATCAAAAATATCACTATTTCTCTTTAAAAACAACATTTTGTTTACCAACTCTGGAGATAATCGGGTCCGCCTAGCAGATATGTGATTGCCAGCATCAGAGAATAGACGCTCACTAGGTACTGATGCTGCAGGGATGGATAAATACTTTCTTGCAATTTGAGCTAAAATTGGTAAAGTAATCTCATTAACTGACCACCACTTTAATGGATCATCCTTCAATCTGACTTGTTTTTGTTGCAAATAAAGCATCACTTCATCATCATCTTGCACTCTTTCCTTATTAACTTTTAGTGCTTTAAAAATATCATCATCATCATCTGAAGAGCTTATAATACTATTGATACTATTTCGAGGTAGAAAGTCCTTTTTTGCATTATACAATTCTTGAACTAATTGTTTAGCTTCATCCTTACCATTACCATTACACCAATCAAAGTTTTTGAAGCGGGGATCCAGAAATGTTGCAACAAGCATAATATTAGATGGCACTGTCCAAAGCTCATCTAAAGATAANGCATAATATTAGATGGCACTGTCCAAAGCTCATCTAAAGATAAGAAAATGGCAGCACGAACTTTTTGCAATAAACCTTCTGTATTTACTGGCTGTAAATATTCTACAGTATTTATATCATCCAAATTTGATTCAACTGGATGAGATGTGGATGCACCACCCCTTCTACGACCTCGACCTCGACTCTGACCTCTATTTCGTGTATTTCCACGTCTTTGGTGGTGAAATTGACGATGTGAATGCTGCCAATATTGTCTTGTTCCACCTGATGGAATATATTCATCATCACTAGCCACATCAGAATCCTCTTCTTCACCATTAGATCCATAAATTAAACTAAAATAGGTATCTAAGGTTTCATTTTCTTTCTCATTTGGTGCAAAATTATTTTTAAGTAAATACATATATGGAATAACAAGACTTAATGTTGGATATTTTGCACCACTAATTTTACGTGTTATAGTTTTAAAAGGTTCCAAAGTGACAATCATTTTCTGGAGAAATCTATTATTAAAAATATATAAACATTAATGAAAGAATTTAATTTGTCTAAAAAAAATAAATAAATTTACATTTTTTCATCTGGACTTAAACATAATCGTTCTAGCTTTTCACCTTCTTTTTGAGATGCTCGGTCAGATTTTGAGAGTAAATCTGTAGATACATTTCTCATGAAATTATGTAACTCAAGAATTCTTTTCCACGCTAAGTATGTAGAATTCCACCTAGTTTTGACATCTGTCAAAACTTCTAGTGGATTCATATATTCATTTTCAGATAAATTTATTTGGAAATTTTGTTGTTGTGCTGAATGAAGTCTTTCAGCCTGTTTAGGTAAGCAAAAAAAGGTCTGTAAACTTTTTATTCGACGATGGAATGCTTTACATTGCTTTAAACCTTCCATTACTGAAAGTTGCAAAGTATGTGCAACACAAGACTGGTGTTGAATTTGGTCAAAATAATTTTCTGTTAATAAACGAACTGCTTTTACCATATTCATTCCATTGTCAGTTGCTACTGTAAAAGCTGTTTATTTCAGATTCCAACTTTCTAATATTTGAAATAATTCTTCACAAATAACCTCACCAGTGTGAGGATAAGGAAGGTGGTTGCATGATAATAGAGTTTCTTGAAACTCAAAGTCCGCAGTTAACCATGTTGCAGTCACACCAAGGTAACCATGTCGGGATTTAGATGTCCAAAGATCAGTCGTCAGGTGTACTGTTACTGCTGTATCTTGTAATAAGGATTGAAGTTGTTTTTACTCCATGTGTATGCTAAAAAAAGCATTTGTTTAATAGATTTATCACAGGGAATTTTATAACCCAGTTCACATGTTAATAAAAGATCTTGAAATGCTTGATTTTGTAATACAAATAAAGGTTAAACATTTTTGATAATAAAAGCAGTAACTTTTCTGGTGATTAATTCTTGTCGTTTAGGAGAACATGTTGTTGAAAGATGATTTGCGAGTTCAGTAATTGGCTAATAGATAATATTTATAGTTTATAAAAAAATTTTTGTATGACATAATCACATGACTTAATTAAAAAATGAAATACCTCTTCGTGTTCATCCAGATATTCTGAATAATTATCTTTAGTTATATTATTTTTATCTCTTAAGTGTGCTATGAGATTAGTTGTATTCCCACCTTTCTGACTATAGCCATAAGCTCTTTTATTTGTGTTGGCAAAATTTGATTCACAAATTTTACAATAGGCAAAATCACCATCTACGCGAAAAAAAAATATTGTATGGCTGCGGTTTTTTCGTGTTGAGGAAATTTGCTGATGTTGATTTTGTATAATGGTATTACTCTCACTTATCGTGGAATTAGTATTATCAATTGTTTCAGAGTCAGAAAATGTGTATGGTGAACTTGACATTTTAATAGCAAAAAAAGAATGTCTACAAGTTTTTAGAGAATGCGGTGATTTAAACAACTACTTGTGAGAATTATTTTATGAATTCATTGTGAATTTTCATGAATTCATGGAATTCATGTGAGAACTATTTTGATTATGATGTAGTTTGTTTGGAAAAAATTAGCTGCAGCCTAATCCCGATCTGGTTTAGATACAGATCATTGTATAATTTCATAAGGAACGTGCAGCTCATTATTTATTCGTTATAGTAAAATGAAATGATCTACATCACGTGATCATTAAGCTGTTTATTTCGTTTAAAAAAAATGATATGTAATTGATAATTAAATAAATATAAACTGGGTGTATAAATCAGTTTCAACCGATTTTGCAAAAACCGATTTAAAAAGGGTCCAACCGGTTGCACCCGTTTTAAATTTGGTTTTCAAAAATGCAACCAGTTCCAAACTCTAGTGGTAGTTTCATATTTCTAGGCGCGATAGATGCCGAGTTATGTGATAAAATGTAAAAATGCACAGTAGACGAAAATACAAAGTGCCGATGTGTGGTATATCTCATCATCTATCACACCTAGAAACACGAAACTACTACCATTCGATTCGTCTTGTCAAGACGAATCCAACGAGCTGTGTTTCATCTTTTTACGATCACTGGGTGGTGAGATATATAACAAAATGTATTTTCTTTTATTTTGTAGTATACACCCAAATTTTTGCATAAAACTTACTATATTATACATATTGGGCATCAATATCTATCGGGTATTTAAAATTTTAACATGCAATTTTGTTTAAAAATTTTATTTAAGTTATTTTTTAATAATTTTTTTTAATAATTTTTTTTAAAAAAATTTTTTAAGTATTTGTTAGAATTTTTAAATAGTTTTTAATAATATTTATTAAAATTTTCAATAAAATTTATTTGAAATTTTTCTTTAAAAATTTTTTTTTTATATAAACTCAGATTTATAATTGTATAATTTATAATAAAATTTGAACTTATGTGATGATTTTGTATAAAGCTTCTAATAAAATTAGATGTATAAAGTTATATTAAAATTTTGGGTCTGGATCTGAGTTGTATATGTATTCTTCGGGGTCCTAGTTACAGATGGTATAAATGTAGTTGAAACAGAAGTTTCAGTATGCGCAGTCCTGACTAAAGAATTTTTGCGATTTGTTGAGGATTTCTCACGATTTGCTAGAGTAAAAGAAACAGATTTAACTAAAGATCTTCCATGATCTACATCAAATGGAGTAACGAGTACAAAAGGACCAGTAGGTGATTTTTCATGATCTGTGCACGGATCTTTAGGAATTTTTTAAGATTCTACTGTTGGCGTTCAGCAAAAGTTAATTATAATGTTAAATTGCAAAATATCAGCATCTTGACAACTAACTACCTAATAACATTTGTGCAAATATATTTTATTGGCTTTCATTCTGTCCTTCAGGAACATCAAGTGCTTGTTTTCTTCTTTGTCCTTCAGGAACGTCAAGTGCTTGCTTTTTTTTTTTGAGTTTTTTGCATTTTTTGACCTTTTAGACGCTATAATCACTTAAATTCTAAATTCGTAAAATTCGTATAGGAAAAATATTGTGAAGAAAAATTCAAATAACAATTAATTCAAAAAATTGAAAAAAAAAAATGTTAAGATTCATATAAATGTAAAAATATGCGACGATTCAGCTAACTGAAAAAAAATGAAAAAATTCTTACATTATAAATAATTGAAAAATTGGGTAAGGTTAAAAGTTTTGCCAGAATTTTTTTAAAAAATCAGTTACTCCTGAATTAAAATATATTTAATGATCAGTAAATTAAATAAATTAATTATTGCGACGATTCAGCCAACCGAAAAAAATAAAAAAATTCTTACATTATAAATAATTGAAAAATTAGGTAAGATTAAAAGTTTTGCCAGAATTTTTTTAAAAAATCAGTTACTTCTGAATTAAAAATATCAGTAAATGAAAAAAATTAATTACTAATCAGTAAATAAATTAATTATCTTTCAGTAAACAAAAATAATCAAGTATCAGTAAAATTTATATTCGCTTGATAATCAGTAAAAAAAAAAATATACCAAAAGTAAATCTTCATAAATATTTCTCACATGAAACTAATTAAAAAAATTTTCCTGCATTAATTTCTAAACTCGCATTGATTTTTAAAGAAAAATGGTCAGATATAAATGTTAAATTTGCAAGAGATATTTTTCAACTTCCAGCGGTTTGAGACAGCACGCTAATGCCAAACACCATGGAAGAACAACAACTTTTCAACCAAGTGAACCAAGTGAACACGTTCAAAGATTCTCGTGACAACCATCAAGAACAGTGGTTATGCCAGAACATGATGTTCAGTTATGGAACACACCCATTACAATGCCAGATACATTTACTTCGCATGAAAAATCCACATACCAAGATGATAATATTGGTGAAATGAAGGATATAATAATCAACGAAATTCCAACTCAAGATGCAGCCAATTTAGAAATTAAAAGGACATACTGTAACAATTGATGTCATGAAATAGGAATTTTTTTGTTTATATTACAGGTTCAAATTAGGAGTTACCTATTCCTTTTATACAATTGATATTAATCACTGGTAAAAAAATGATTTATCCTACACATATCTTACACATATTGGGTACTTAAAATGTAGAAAATCATACACAAATAATACACATATCATACACATATCGGGTACTAATATATATATCATACATATATCAGGTACCTGATAGGTATACTATATATATAAGTACCCGATATGTGTATGATATGTGTATTATTTGTGTATGATTTTCTACATTTTGAGTACCCGATATATGTAAGATATGTGTAGGATATGTGTAGGATAGACCATTTTTTTACCAGTGATAAGGAACTTCTTTTTAAAAGAAAAATATAGAAACTCAAATCTATTGTTAAGTCAGAAAAAGCTACACTAACAATTACTACTTTGTTTTTAGAAATTTTTATTAATGAATTTTATAGAATCATTTGGCAACTACGTTGCAACTTAGTAACAGAATGGGAATGTATAAAAGGGATCAAGAAACAAGACCTAAAGAAAAAAATACCAGCACATTAACGTATTGCATATGAATGAACTCCAACTCAGCAAATAGAAGGTAATACATATGATTTAAAAGGAAGGAAAATTCTCAAACATAATGAACAATGGTCAATTTCTTTTGAAAAAACAAGACAGTATATAATCAGTTTATTAGAGAAGGAAATAGGATAATTTGGAAGATATATAATAATATCAAGATGTATAAATACACATATAATTCTTCTTTTTGTTTAGAAGGTAGTAAAAGCATATACTAAAGCCATAGGATAATAATGATCCTATATAATCTGATAGCTACTATAGAAGAATATAGGTGAATTTTATATTGTATGGAAGCAATCTATAGGATGAGAACCCAGTTCAAAGTTTTAATAGATTAATTATGCTTATAGCAGAAAAATCTGTAATTCCATATAACTAATAAACTCATGAATTGCACTACCTTGCAAAAAAAAAAAAAAAAAATTCTATCTATTTTATCTTTTAAATTTTTATTATTATCACTCTTTTTCATGTTCATCTAACAATTTTCATACATGATGAAACACTAAAACTGTAAAATTTATGAAAATAAATCCTTAATATTATACACATTTGATTTTATTTTTTTTCTCCATCCAATAATAATTTGTACAGGTTTTGGTTTGTGAATCCATCATTTTTTAGTTTGATTTTGAAGATAATCTGCTGGTTCTTAAAGAAGATCTAGCTCTTGAAGAGGATCAAATTTTTGAAAAGGATCTGGTTCTCAAAAAGGATCAAGATCATTTGAATTTAATGGTAGTTAGTATAATAAAACAAATGTTTTCTGATGCTGTGAAAAATATTTAGCATCCCAATTGTCATCTCTCAATATAAGTGATAAAGTAGAGTAAGTATCAACACCTTTAAATATACATTTATAAATTCCCGTTTTTGAATAATAATTATGTATATATCCTTTAAAACACTAAAAAACTGACTCTTTGTACAATTAACCATAATGTGAACATTTCCAGCATGTCTTGAATGCTGTTTCAATCTTTCTTTTATATGATAAACTATCATTTTTTACATCTCTTCAATTGCTCTTTTAGGCAAATCATATATTGTTAGCTTTATAGTATTAGCATCTTTAATGGATTTTTCATGTTTAGCTAAACTTGAATGTCATTTATAAATCTGTCTACACATTTTACATTTTAATGTATTGCAAAGCGTATTATTTAGAGTTGACATTGTTAACATATTTTTTATTTTTTTTTTAAAAAAGAAATAATTAACCCAAAAAAATTAGTTAACGTAGTTTATAATAAAAAAAAGGTCTTTTTTAAGCTAAAAGTAACACGATATTAAACTCAGTTGCTTACTATAAAATTCACTCATAGATTCCTTATATAGTTGATGAGTTGCTTACTAGTATTGTTAATATTCAAAATCATTTTTAAAGTCCTGAAGATACCCCTATTTTGTGATTTAATATAATTTATTAAGCCACCAGATCTTATGATTTATGTTACACACAAAAGAATATGGTGATATAAAATTAAGCCCAATTTTTCTTATCTATCCATATGAATGGACTGACTTCCAGATGATAAAAATTTAAATATAAAAAGAACTTTTGAAAGTCAGCAAAAAAAAGTGAATAATATCATTCCAGTTGTTCAAAAATTAATTAATAAGAAGTTCTTCTTGGTGACTGATGGCGTCATTAAACATATCATTTATGAACGTCATCGGCAGGAACTTCTTAGTGCAAGACGAAGTGCAAATTGAGTAGAAAATGATATAAGAAGGTGGCATGCAAATTTCTAATGAAGTGATGTAAATATTAAATTATTTTATTTGATATTACCTTTTCTTATTAATAAATATTTCCTATTATTTATTTAAAAACGTAAAAGAAGATTAAAAATCATCGATAAACTAACCACGTTAAAGGACTGATTGGTAGATAAATTCTATAATGACGAGTTCTGATCTGTTCAGACTAAAAATCGATACCACAGTTCAGAAAAATTAAAGACCAATGAAAACAATCCAAATAAACGTAAGATCATCATCCCAGATCTTAAATGGAAATTGTCTTCCGTAAGTATTTGAGTAATTTTTACCAATCGGTGTATTTTAATTTAATACTATTTTTATTTGTATAACTATGTATATTTCTTTGAAATTATGTTAATACAGTCAACTCCCTCTATAGTCACTCCCGTTATAGTCACATTCTACTATATAGTCACACTAGTTGAATGTTCAAAACACTTTATTATTAAAATCTATCCTATATAGTCACAATC